GTACGTCAGGTTTCAGTAAGAAATCCACGCAAGTCTATGTACATGAGGCCCCTGGAGAGGAGGGTACGTCGGATAGTCGAATCCCAGATTCAGGAAGAGCAGTGTGGTTTTCGTCCTGGTCGTGGAACAGTGGACCAGCTCTACACCCTCAGCAGGGTCCTGGAGGGGGCATGGGAGTTCGCTCAACCAGTCTACATGTGTTTTGTGGACTCGGAGAAGACAGTTGACCATGTCCCTCTGGGACTCCTGTGGGGCGGGGTACTCCGGGAGTATGGGGTACCGGGCCCATTTATACGGGCTGTTAGGTCCCTGTATGACCGGTGCCAGAGCTTGGTCCGCATTGCCGTAAGTCGGACTTGTTTCCAGTGAGAGTTGGACTCCACCAAGGTTGCCCTTTGTCACCGATTCTGTTCATAACTTTTATGGACAGAATTTCTAGGTGCAGCCAAAATGTTGAGGGGATCCTTTTTGGTGACCTTGGGATTGCATCTCTGCTTTTTGCAGATGATGTGGTCCTATTGGTTTCATCAGATCTTGATCTCCAGCTCTCACTGGAGCGGTTCACAGCCAAGTGTGAAGCAGCCGGGATGAGGATCAGTGCCTCCAAATCTGAGACCGTGGTCTTGAGCTGGAAACCTGTAGTGTGCTGCCTCCGAGTCGGGRAGGAGGTCCTGCCCCAAGTGGAGGAGTTTAAGTATTTCGAGGTCTTGTTCACGAATGAGGGAAGAATGGAGCGGGAGATCGACAGGCGGATTGGTGCTATGTCTGCAGTGATGCTGGCGCTGTACCGGTCTGTCGTGGTAAAGCAGGAGTTGAGYCAGAAGGCAAAGCTCTCGGTTTACTAGTCGGTCTATGTTCCTACCCTCATCTATGGTTACGAACTTTGGGTAGTGACCGAAAGAATGAGAGCGCGGATACAAGCGGCCGAAATGAGTTTCCTTTGCAGGGTGTCTGGGCTCTCCCTTAGAGATAGGGTGAGAAGCTCAGTCATCCAGGAGGGACTCAGAGTAGAGCCGCTTCTCCTTCACAATGAGAGGAGCCAGTTGAGGTGGCTCAGGTATCTGGTTAGGTTAGGTGTTCCGGACGTGTCTCACTGGGAGGAGACCCAGAGGAAGACCCAGGACAYGCTGGAGGGACTATGTTTCTCAGCTGGCCTGGGAACACCTTGGGATTCCCCTGGACGAGCTGGTCCAAGTGGCTGGAGAGAGCCAAGTCTGGGTCTCTTTGCTTAGGCTGCTGCCCCCACTACCCCATTCCGGATAAGCAGCAGAAAACTGACGGACGGACGGATCTAAGAGTAATTCAACAAGAGTATGCTTTTTAAAATAAATTTCTTCAGGGGTTTCTCATAAGGTAAACATTTCTCTTTAAAAGAGAATTTAAAAATAGTGATTATACTACTTTTATAAGCAGCCATTTTGTTGTGTTTAAATGAAACAAGTGTATCATTTTAAAATGAAACAAGAGTATGCTTTTTAACTAAATGAAATAAGTTTTGCTGTGTTTAAATKAAACAAGACCTATCCTTTTTAAACAAGTTTTAGAGAACATTTCAGAGAGGGTAATAAAAGGTTTGTTTCTCACCTTGCTCCCTGAGATGTTTCTCCTCCAAAAACCTTTAGCCAAGTGAAGAGACTAGCCAGAGAAAGTACAGCCTCCTAACAGTCTCCTCCTGCTGTGATGTCACTCTGAGACAACCCCTTCTGAGATGTTTTACAACTTAGTTTATTACTTTTTACTTTTATTTAATAAATGCTATTTTCAAATTGGCTTTTTATATGTTGAGTGAAATTTCTGACCATGAGCAGAGTGACTTAGGATGTTTTGTTAGTTTTAGTGTAAAATTGCTGGCTGTCATGTCCCTTAAGGCTTCGTGCTTCAGATTACTGAAAAAAAAAATTCTTTTCTAATCAGAAACAGAATCGTTTATTGTCATTCACACACAACATCAAGACGCAGCGCAGAACAAAATTTGCAGTTTAGAACATCCGTCCAGAGAAACACACACACATGACAAACATGGGGTAACGAATGTCCAGGGTCTTTCGCAACTTAGTGCACTACCTTTGCAGTTTAGAACACACACACAATAGGAAGGGTGAGTTAAAAAAAGAGCTTTGATCCTGTGTTTGATATTACTTTAACAGAGCCAGAACGTCCTCCAGTCTGACACACACACAACCTCTGTTATTACAARCACTACATGAAACAAGCACATCTAGTGCATTATTTAATAAAGGAATAACCCGACCATTTCAAAGTGGAAAAGTTTAAAAATTCTAAGTTGGTCTCAAAGCTGGGCAATTCAGTTATCAAGCATCAGAGTCCGACTTTAAGAACCAAATCTAAAGAGTCTGTCTCAGAGTTCATTTATTTTGTTAATTCTGGATCCCTCGTTTAGAAAACCCACAAAAAAAACATTCACTGAATCGGATTTCATGTTCAAATATATAATTTTCATGAAATATATTTTAAAAAAATCGTATGTTTATATTTATCACAATAACTTTGTATTTTTTTTTTGTTTTATCCAGTATTTTCGTGTAGAAAATTAAAGTTCCCTGTTTATCTCATCTTTTTCTTTGGTGATAAGTTAACGGGTTAAATGTTAAATTTGATGATGTGATGGCTGCAGTCATTAATTCAACATTTACTTGTTGAGTTCGAAAGTAAATATAAAAGAAGAAAAAAAAAGACTTCACCAAGGCTTTGGACTCCATCTCATGTACCCTGCATTCACTCTCCATCTGACTGTGGAAAAAATGGTACATTTTCTCCAAAAGTCACACAATCAATCTTTCTTATCCAAACTGGAAATAAAAATAAACCTGTTACTTGTTGTTATTTATCATCCACAGGCCCTTATWCTCTGTTTTTATCTGAATTCTCAGATTTTTTTGTCTGACTTTTGTCTGAGTCAATTGATTTTACTCAAAATGTCCACAAATCTACTCGTTCTTTTCATCACACTCATGATCTGGTTCTGACATGGTGTAGAGCAGGGGTGCCCAAACATTTTCCCTGACAGGACCAAAATTAAAATAAATCTGAGGGCCGTGGGCCAAATGCAATATAAGAAATGCAAATATTTCTTAAATAAAGTTGTTTTATTTTTTATGATTAATCTAGCAGCCATTGTGGTTGCCCACATTTTTTTTTTTCCAGCCCTGGAGAAAACATGGAGAAAATTCAACGTATGCTCAGTCAGCAAAGGCTTATGGGACTTTTCATAATTTAAAATTTGAATCTATGATCTTAAATCTAATCTAAGTGTCTCTTGTAGTTACTTGTATTTTATATTTAATCTTAACAAAATTACTGTCTAGTAACCCGGACAACTACTGGTGGGCCAAATGAAATGGCTTGGTGGGCCAATTTTGGCCCACAGGCCCCACTTTGGGCACCTCTGGTATAGAGTAAAAAACTTAATTATACGCCCTCACAATCCTGTTCTCTCTGACCGTTTTTAAATAACCTCTGAGTTTTTAGCTGAGAGTAAATCTCTCTGTAGTTGATGTTTATCAGTAGACAAATTTAAAGAATCTCTTCCATTTTAATTTTCCTCTGTCCTACAGAATAATGCAACAGAGAGCAGTAACTTGGATGACTTTAATTATAATATTAACCTCTCTTGGTAAAATTGCTCCTCTGGAAAAGAAAGTAATAGAGGAAGGCAACTTTTTGGTTTGTTGAGCTTTGTTTGACGCTGACAGACGCTGCGGGCCGTGCAGACGCTGACAGTGAAAGACTGCGCCGCTAACAAGCACCAGAAACTTTAGAGCTCCTACCAAACTGTAAGTACTTTGAAGGTGTACTTAAGTACACCTGCTCCTGTTTTCAGGGAACAGCGTGAGGATAGACRTGGGGTAACGTATTGTATCATTTTCTGCTTTGCTGCTGGTGGTGCTCAGCAATTTGTTTGTTTGGGAATTTAACTCACTGGATTATCTACCTTTGCACGGTTCTACTTCGAGTCCTAAATCACCCTTGATTTAGTTTGTTCTTATTGGGACTGTGCTTAAAATCCACTCCTACTTATTTAAATTTTCATGTTCCTAGAACATCAGGTCGTGGTGAAGGAGTAGCTGCAGTTTATAAGTTAGAACTATTAATTAATGCTAAATCAAAAATTAGTTATAATTCATTTGGGTCTTTGTCCCTCAGTCTTTCTCATCCAAAATGGAAATCATAAAAACCTCGACTACTAGTTATTTATCATCCTCCAGACCCTTATTCTCAGTTTTATCAGAGTTCTCAGATTTTCTGACTGATTTATTATTAAAAACTGATAAAATTATAATAATGGGAGATTTTAATATTCATGCTGATAGTGAAAATGATAGCTTAAATATAGCTTTTAGTAATTTGATAGTCGATTGGTTTTAATCAAAATGTCCACAGACCTCACTCCCTTCATCACACTCTTGATCTGGTTCT